TATTGATTTCTGAGATAGTTTTTACAGTGGCCTTCGTAAATCAAAAAAGTGATTCTGACTGTACTCATATTGACAAAACAGGAGCGGGTAGTCATTCCACAGTCCAGTTTAATTGTGGTGCCTTGTGTAACTAGACTGGCAATAACATGGGACAGTGCTAATAATATCTGTCATACCATTCTCTTTGCTTGTACATACAGAACCAGTGTTTTCTACAGTGCTTTATAAAGAAAGTTGGTTACATGTGCGTCCTGAGAACATATTTTGCAGATAAATGTGTTTGGGAAATGAGAAATTAAGGATTAAGGATTGCCATTTTAAAACATTTCCAAGTAAAAATATTAGTGCTTATCTCTCATGTTTTCATCATTTTCAAAGCATAGTACAGTAAAGCCTTCCTAAAACATTCATGTCTAATTCTATCACATATCCCAAAAATTAGAGGATTGATCCTCATTTTGTGACAGTGGGCAGAGCCATACAAATCATTCCTGTATGCCCTAAACAACCAAATGCACATCAAGAACTTCTTGGGTACCATGTAAATAAAGCCTAATATTATACAGCCATTTATTCCAAACTGCATACAGCTGTTTTAGACTTTTTGGCCATAATCAATGCAGCATATGAAAACCACAGCGTCTATGGAGTAGAACTTTGGACCCCATAAAACATTATAAGCTCTCAACTCTAATCAGTGCATAGTACAGTAGAGCTTATATGGCACACTTAAAAAACTATTGAATGCAACGGCGTTTCATAGCTTCTAATATCTTAGGTGTATGTGTTTTGTGGACAACACCTCTTCTTCAGGACCATGGACGCTAGGGGATTGAACGTGGTGATCACAATGGTATATATACTATAACAGAAGGAAAATGTTACAATCAAAACATAGGAAACATATGTTGGCTGATTTACTAAAACTGGAAAGTGTAAAATCTGGTGCAACTGTGCATGGTAGCAAATCAGCTTCTAACTTCAGCTTGTTCAGTTAAGCTTTGATAATAAAACCTGGAAGCTGAATGGTTTCTATGCAGAGCTGCACCAGATTTTGCTCTCCACAGTTTTAGTAAATCAACCCCATGGTGTATATTACATGTAATAACCAACAACAACAAAAAAAAAAAGGTAGATAACCAAACTGTTCAAAAAACTGTCCAATAGTAATAATAATATTGATAATAAAAAAAAATACAGGAAAACAACCAGCTTACCCACAGTAGTGGTAGTACTGTAACTTTTCCATCAAGATCAATAATTCAACTATCAGTCCCTCCCTCAAACCAGGTTACTAGGTGTAATCCTAGACTCTGACCTATCCCTAAATCCAATCACTGTCAAAAGCTTGTAGACTTCACCTCTGTAACATCTCTAAAATTTGCCCCTTTTTAACGACTTTTTAATGAAACCACCAACCTACTCATTCACTCCCTTGTTATCCCTTGCCTTGACTATTACAACTTCCTTCTCATAGGTCTACCTCTCCATAGGCTATCCCCTGTTCAGTCTGTCATGAATGCTGCTGTCAGAATCATCTACCTTACCAACCGCTCAGTGTTTGCCATCCCTCTCTGCCAATCCCTCCATTGGCTTCTGATTGCCCAGCGAATTAAATTCAAAATACTAACAACAACATATAAAGCTAATCACAACTGTACCTTGAGCTACATCACCAATTTTGTCTCCAAATATTACCCAAACCATCCTCTCCGCTCCTCTCATGACCTCCGGCTCTCAAGCTCCTTTGTTTCCTCCTCCCATGCTTGTCTCCAGGACTTCACCAGAGCTTCTCCCATCTTCTGGAACTCTCTACCTCAATCTGTCTGGCTATTGTCGCAAACATGCACAACACACAGTGAAGGACGCAGACTCCATTTTGTTAAGAGTATCCATTTCTCCCTTATTCTCCTTCCCCCTCCCTTCCTGAGAGGCCCTGCGACATGTGGCCAGTATGTGTGTGAGTTAGGAATGTCACAGGAGGGTCACAGGAGCTGTAAAAACCCCCAAGAGAGTTGGAGTCTCTCTGTCCACAGAACCTGCCAATTGTAACACCCCCTAAGAGATAAGGCAAGCTTTCTCAGGAGTTGAAAGAGATTCTAGCCTCATAAAACCTAACTGTGTAGGTGACAGAATCAGATAACTTCTGGTAAATCCATTTTTCCCCTATGTCTCATACCTTGGAATATGAGAGATGTACATAAAAACCGGACACCTCGTCAGATGGCCAATGAGCAGACAAACAGTTTGATGGGTCACTCGCCTTGTCTCGGACACTCAGGGAAGCAGAAGCATAGATCTTGTGAACCGTGCAGTATGTAATTTCATAATTCATATCTAATTAATCCTCAGACTTGTTGGCATAATAATCTACCCACGGGTGGACTGTCACTTGTGCAGATGAAAGTTATAGGAAAATATGAGTTATGGGAGATTTTTGCTCTAAATGAGGCATCCACCCATATTTCCATGCCCTAAGTGGAGATTGGCCCTTGACTACAGAGCCACCCCCCTGCTGGGGACTTTAAAACAGGCTGACAGGCCTAAGAGGAGAGAAGTTGAAGACGTCTCCCATTTTATCATCAATACCACCTAAAGAGACCCGTGCCCTTTTGCTCTGAAACTTGGATCTGCTAACCCAGGACTTTGGCAAGTACTTTAACCCTTTCACCTCTCTCTGATATCTCTTTGCTGTGCTATGGTTCTTTGTATGTATATATATATATATATATATATATATATATATATATATCTTTGTTCTGTAAATATTTTTATTGCTCCTGTTTGACCTTTTAGTAATAAATCTTTCTTTCTGAAAGTGTTGAACTGTTTCTATAGCTCTGTATTGCAACACACGAATTACTGCCTCTAAAAAGACGCTACTGTGTTTGTTTAAACCTCTGTATAACCAGCCTGCGGACCATTTTATACAGACAATTATCTCAATCATTATAGTGTTATAGCTGATAACCCCAAGTTTCCTCTCTCTCTGTACAAAAAGGAGGTGGTGGCAGTGTGAAGGGTTAATTGCGTAATTAACCTGACCCAGTAACAATCACTCAGGCTGCCGGTACATCGATCTGTATACATTAGCTGGAAAATCGTTGTGCAGGGTGCAGCTGGGTGTGGCATTGTTACGCACGTCACATCACGGTTTTAGATTGGCTAGTCCTTCGGTCATGAGTTTGGTGAGAAGGTCTGGGGTCTGACGCCGCGACCGTGACAGCTATCCCCTACTCTGGCTGCCTTTAGGTGATCCCTGAAAACTCCTCCTTCTGGGAAGCCTATCATGCCTCCAACTAAACGTTTACACTTCCATCAGCTCATCCCCTACAATTATAACCTTTTGTACCACTTGCTCCACCCTATTAGATTGTAAACCCTGATGAGCAGGGCCCTCTTAACCCTCTTGTTTTTATTGTATTGTAACTATACTGTCTCCCTTTATATTGTAAAGCATTGCACAAACTGTTGCCGGAATATAAATCCTGTATTGTAATAATACTGTGCACATAAGTCTACACAAACGCACCACAATAAAAAAAGGAATGACAAAAGCATATATATCCAAGGAAGGGGCCGAGAGAAGGAAGAGGAAAAAAATAAACCACTGTGCAGAAAAAGTATGGACTTGGACATTCTTTTAAAAAAGAGTTTGATGCATTATTGAATGTAAAAATATAACTATATATTACTATTTATATATAATAACACCAGGCTTCTTGAGGGATCAAGAAGGAATTTTTTTTCTCCTCATGAGTAAATTGGATCATGCTTTATTGGGTGTTTGTTAGTCTTCCTCTGGTTCAACTGTGGCTATAGGATTGTATATAAAGAGGTTTTTTATTTGTTTGTTTTTTTCAATTGGTAGAATGAATTAGACAGATTTGTGTCTTTTTTCAATCTAACTATGGAACTATGTAATATGCCTGTATACTATACGAGTGACTGTACGCAGCACCTGGGCTTCCCAGGTGGGGGTAGTGCCCTGGAATTAACAATGCACAGACTCAGGGCACCCATGTGCAAGAGCCATAACACCATCAAGACAGCAGGAATTTGTGCCATTGGTATCATGTTTTATTGACTTATGGTCTGTGAATGTAATGAAAGTTGGGTCAGCTTGTAGTATGGCTGCCACCATTGTAGTGTGGCTGCTCAGTGAATTCAAGCATGGTACCACTGTGGTACGCATCAAAAAACAAAACGCATTCAAAAAAAAAAGAAGAAAATCCCAAAGGGAAAAAAAGAGATGGTATTAAAGATGTGTGTGCACATGAATATGCACATGTAAGGTGCATGATGTGCCCAAATGAGCTTGCATCCAAATAAACTAAGTAATGAGATATATGAAAGGATACATATACATACATATAAAAAACTCGATAAGCATAATAAAAAACACATATAAACACACTTACAAATATATATATATATATATATATATATGGATGCACACACGTGCATATACACACACATGCATCTATATGTATACATCTTTAATACCATCTCATTTTTCCCTTTTTTTTTGCGTTTTGTTTTTTGATGCGTTGTTTTTCGATGCGTTACTTTTGGTATATATCTATATATATAGATATATATTTCTTTTTCTGCTATAAACCCAGTCTGAATATGTATGGTTTTTTTATGATATTATCCCAAGTAAACATGCGTTTTGTGTTTTTTTTTTTTTTTTTGCATTTTTGTATGCGTTTTTTGCATATATTTATATTTAAATTTTGATAATTTACTAATGTGGCTTCTTAGCCCATATCTTCTTGGGATATTTACTCACTTTTTACCTGTGTTTGTTATTCTATTTTTCATTTATAATTTTTTTCATAATTATTTTTTCACAATTATTTTTATCCATTTTTTTTTTCTCTTTCTTTGTTTATCTTTTTATTTTACTTCATTTTTCTTTTCTTCCTTTTTTGTTGTTCTTTGAGATCACTACTTTTGATACAATGGTTTTATATGTCTTGTTACAATGTATTAGTAGGTGTACCCTCAGGATTCAGGAGTGCTGATTAGGACAGGTGTTCTTTATTAACTAATACCTATATAATGCAGGCCATAGATGGGGAGAAAACCGGCCGATTTTTCTTTAAAAAAACGAAAAATCGGTCATTCAAGCAGCCGACGTTACCAGGAACGGTAAAAAAAATCGGCCGATTTTCATCCCGTCTACAGACGGCAAAAAGTGTCCCTGCAGAGAGCTCCGCTATTTCTTTGACAGTTTTTTTTGACATTTATAGCACCTGCAACAATGTATCTATCTGTATTTGGATACAGATGTTTTTATTCGGAAACAAATACAGTCAGGTCCATAAATATTGGGACATTGACACAATTCTAACATTTTTGGCTCTATACACCACCACAATGGATTTGAAATGAAACTAACAAGATGTGCTTTAACTGCAGACTATCAGCATTAATTTGAGGGTATTTACATCCAAATCAGGTGAATGGTGTAGGAATTACAACAGTTTGCATATGTGCCTCCCACTTCTTAAGGGACCAAAAGTAATGGGACAGAATAATAATCATAAATCAAACTTTCACTTTTTAATACTTGGTTGCAAATCCTTTGCAGTCAATTACAGCCTGAAGTGTGGAACGCATAGACATCACCAGACGCTGGGTTTCATCCCTGGTGATGCTCTGCCAGGCCTCTACTGCAACTGTCTTCAGTTCCTGCTTGTTCTTGGGGCATTTTCCCTTCAGTTTTGTCTTCATCAAGTGAAATGCATGCTCAATCGGATTCAGGTCAGGTGATTGACTTGGCCATTGCATAACATTCCACTTCTTTCCCTTAAAAAACTCTTTGGTTGCTTTCGCAGTATGCTTTGGGTCATTGTCCATCTGCACTGTGAAGCGGTGTCCAATGCGTTCTGAAGCATTTGGCTGAATATGAGCAGATAATATTGCCCGAAACATTTCAGAATTCATCCTGCTGCTTTTGTCAGCAGTCACATCATCAATAAATACAAGAGAACCAGTTCCATTGGCAGCCATACATGCCCACGCCATGACACTACCACCACCATGCTTCACTGATGAGGTGGTATGCTTAGGATCATGAGCAGTTCCTTTCCTTCTCCATACTCTTCTCTTCCCATCACTCTGGTACAAGTTGATCTTGGTCTCATCTGTCCATAGGATGTTGTTCCAGAACTGTGAAGGTTTTTTTTAGATGTCGTTTGGCAAACTCTAATCTGGCCTTCCTGTTTTTGAGGCTCACCAATGGTTTACACCTTGTGTTGAACCCTCTGTATTCACTCTGGTGAAGTCTTCTCTTGATTGTTGACTTTGACACACATACACCTACCTCCTGGAGAGTGTTATTGATCTGGCCAACTGTTGTGAAGGGTGTTTTCTTCACCAGGGAAAGAATTCTTCGGTCATCCACCACAGTTGTTTTTTCCGTGTCTTCCGGGTCTTTTGGTGTTGCTGAGCTCACCGGAGCGTTCCTTCTTTTTAAGAATGTTCCAAACAGTTGTTTTGGCCACGCCTAATGTTTTTGCTATCTCTCTGATGGGTTTGTTTTGTTTTTTTCAGCCTAATGATGGCTTGCTTCACTGATAGTGACAGCTCTTTGGATCTCATCTTGAGAGTTGACAGCAACAGATTCCAAATGCAAATAGCACACTTGAAATGAACTCTGGACCTTTTATCTGCTCATTGTAATTGGGATAATGAGGGAATAACACACACCTGGCCATGGAACAGCTGAGAAGCCAATTGTCCCATTACTTTTGGTCCCTTAACAAGTGGGAGGCAGATATGCAAACTGTTGTAATTCCTACACCGTTCATCTGATTTGGATGTAAATACCCTCAAATTAAAGCTGACAGTCTGCAGTTAAAGCACATCTTGTTCGTTTCATTTCAAATCCATTGTGGTGGTGTATAGAGCCAAAAATGTTAGAATTGTGTCCATGTCCCAATATTTATGGACCTGACTGTAGATACATTGTTGCAACCGCTATAAATGTTAAAGAAATAGCGGAGCTCTCTGCAGGGACACTTTTTGCCGGACTGGAATTCTTCTTCTTCTTCATCCTCCTCTTCTTCTTTCTCTTCTCCTTCCTTTCTTCTTCACCTTCTTCTTCATCCTCTTCTTCATCCTCTTCTTCTTCATCCTCTCTTTCTTCTTCATCCTCTTCTTCTTCCTCTTCTTTGTCATCCTCTTCTTCTTCTTCTTCTTCTTCCTCTTCTTCTTCTGCTTCATCCTCTTCTGCTTCATCCTCTTCTTCTTCCTCTTCCTCTTCTTCATCCTCTTCATCCTCTTCTTCATCCTCTTTTTCATCTTCTTCATCCTCTTCTTCATCCTCTTCTTCTTCTTCTTCATCCTCTTCTTCATCTTCTTCATCCTCTTCTTAATCCTCTTCTTCATCCTCTTCTTCTTCATCCTCTTCTTCATCTTCTTCATCCTCTTCTTCTTCTTCTTCTTCTTCATCCTCTTCTTCTTCATCTTCTTCTTCTTCATCCTCTTTTTCATCCTCTTCTTCATCCTCTTCTTCTTCTTTTTCTTCTTCTTTTTGTCTTCCTCTTGCAGGTCACTGCTCATGCGCAGATTTTTTATCGGTAAAAAGATCGTCCGATTTGCCCATAATTGCCGTGAAAATTGGCCGATCGACAAAATCAGCCGATCTTTTTCCAACTTTACCGATAAAAAAAATCTGCCAAAAAAAAAACGAAAAAAAAACGGCCGAACAATTAGCCCACTAACGATCCGAAAATCGGCCGATTTTCGACCCATCCATGGCCTGCATAAGACAGCACTTTTTTTGTTTTCTTTGTTATGATTAAGCACGAGATCGTGTGAAACGCGTTAACAAGTCCTGTATTCATGTCCTGGTGTTTTGTGTGTCCTATGGATCAATAAATTCATCTATCCTCTGGTGTGCGGCTGACCCTTCTTCCTGTTGCATCGTGTGTGGTAGAGAGCCAGAGCCTGCACCTGTCGTGGATTGATCTGGATTATTTGCCTGAGCGGTATACCTTTTGTTCTTTGGATATAAATCCAAGTGAATGTGGCGCATCATCAAGCGCCAAATACAGTATAATTTTATACAGTATCACACAGATTGAATCGCACGGATTTTACCGGAAGTCACAAATGATTATATGTGAATGGAGCACTAATTTGCTGACCTGACCGCATCAAGCCTGCACTATCTTTGAACACTTTTCTGATTTACAGACTATTGATATTATCACGTTCTTATTTGGCGCTTGATGATCCGCCACATTCACTTGGATTTATATGCTGTAGATTAATATTTATTTTATTGGTGACAATATTTCTCATTATAAGCGTTTTCAGTGCTGCACTTTTTATTGATTGTTTTTCACTAAGTGTTAGGGTTCCTAAGTTGGTGCATATGCAGCTGGTTATAATAATAATTTTTATTTATTTATCTATTAATTTACTCTGATTTGAGCGCTTGCTGTAATCTTGCTATTTTGACCTCACAAATGCGCTTCTGAAAGAGTGGTTAAACATTCCCACAGACACACTCCTAAACCTTGTGGACAGCCTTCCCAGAAGAGTTGAAGCTGTTATATAGTGTTCCCTCGCCACTTCGCGCTTCAGTGCTTCGCGGGTCAGCAGCCACATTGTGGAAAGGAGCGTTGTTTCATGTTGATGCGCGAGAGAGAAGGATCCCTGCATGTTAACCAAAGAGATGAGTTGACTCAGAGTACTGTACTGTACATACCACGGGCTTTCATAAAGGCGCGTGATTGGTTTCCAGTGTGACATCGACCAATAAGAGTATCACTGTGAGTTGATTGTCTGCGCATCATTGCAGCCTCACCTAGCATCTTCTCTTGTTGTATCTCGCCAGTCTTGTCCATGATGTTGACTGTCTCGCATACATTCCTGGGGGCAAATACTACTTCGCGGTTTTTCAGCTTTCGCGGAAGGTTCTGGTCCCCATTAACAGCGAAAAACGAGGGATCACTGTAGCTGCAAAAGGTGGGCCAACTCGATATTGAACCCTGTGAAGTAAGACTGGGATGCCAAAAGTTCATGTGTGTTTAAAGGCAGGCGTCCCAATACTTTTTGCAATATAGTTTATATGGGACATACAAAGAAAACCTGTAAAGTCACAATTAAAACTTGGAATTCATTCTGTTCGACATGATTGACTTAAATAAATTTGCTTTTGCAGCCAGTTTAACAACACAGAATTGATGAATTAGGATGCAGGGCTTTCTCAATGTTATCATCATTTTAACTTAAAACAAACATTAGCTGCATATTTTGTCTGGTAATGATAGGGTTTACTCATTGTCACATTCCACATATTTAAGCCATGACTGTGAATTTGTAATACCTTTTACATCGGTGGGACCTGATCTGATATCAGTAGTGAAACATTTTTTGAACAAGTGAAGAAGATGCTTTTTTTCAAATGATTTTGCAGTCAGTGTTCTAAAGAGTCTCCATGAAGAAGGAACCATTGGAGAGCTCTCTACAGAATGCCTTTGCTGTGTTACGAATCTTTCATCTACTTAAAGTGAAACATCACAGACAAAAACAGACTAGAATAAATATGTTTTTACAGCTGTTTGAAATGGTAGTGGTTTCTTATATTATAAAGCAGAGCATGCAAGCAAAATAACAGAGATCTACGCTTGGCATTTCTGATAGGATTTATCAGGAGAAAAGTAATTATTGTGTCCCATTGCTTTGTATTTGTTGAGTACTTTGTGATATAACTGCTCCTTTTCTAAAGTTAGCAAAACCTTATCCAGAACACTTTATGATCTCTTTGATCTTAGAGCCCAGACAGGTTTTGTTGCTTACTCTATTCAGTGATTGCAGATGATGCTGAAAGTTACAAATGTTCCATGGTGCATGGCCAACATCACTACTGGGAGTTGTGATTTTAAAGAGATGAGAGGTTGTAGCTAAGGGCTTTTACTAGTGAGCTTCTGCAGGCACCTACCTGCCGTGTCAAAATGAGGCTGATTTTCTAAAGGAGATATTTGCACAAAAATTGTGTGAATATTCACTTCAACTATCTAGTCATGTCAAAAGCATCTGCACGTGATTGGGCATAGTGAACATGGATTTGCTTTTCACATGATTGGATAATTAAAGTGAATATTGATATATTTTGAATTAAGTTTATTAACTCCTTTAGTGAACCAGGCCTCCGTGGTTTTTACACATAGTGCTTGTAGAAAGCACTGTATTAACCATTTTCCTCTCTCCCACAGTACTTTTACTGTGGATGGGTGGCATGGCCAGGTTCAGCAATGTAAATATACGTTGCTCCACACATGCGCTCTGGTACTTCCCCTAGGGTGTGCAATTCACCACTCTTGTAACTGCTGTATCCACGGGACTCAGTGGATTATGGTTCCCTGTAGCCGGGACCATCACTGGAACAGCAATCATAGTGCTAAAAAACCCTGATCACCCTCCACCACCATTATGGTGACACTGAACTACTCTGATGACAATATGTAAAAAAAATATGTTTAAACACTTTTTTTTTACATACTGTCACCAGTCAGCGTGACAAAAAATACAACTTTGAAAACTTGCTATTCCTCTTACTAAATACCTCAGGCTGTCTACTTTCCAAAAAGGGGCCATTTGGGGGTATATTATATAAACTGTCCTGGCATTTTGGGGCCTCAAGAAATGAGATCATTCAGTACATCAGGATTGATTAATTTTCAAATATATACCATAGTTTCTAGATGCTAAACCAATTAATATACACTTTTTAGGGTATTTTGTTTTACCAGGCATGTAGGAGAATAAATGTTGGCCTAAATTTAGGAAGAAATTTGATTATTTTGGATGTGTTCTATAGCAGAAATATTTTTTTTTGAAAGTTTTGGTATTTAATTTATATTGCAAAAAATAAAAACCCAGTGGTGATCAAATACCACCAAAAGAAAGCTCTATATGTGTGAAAAAAAAATTTGTTAAATTTTCTTTAGGTACATTGTTGCATGACTGAACTATTGCCAGTTTAAGTAGCACAGTGCTAAATACCAAAAAATGTCCTGGTCATAAAGACCAGAGGTCAAGTGGTAAAGTTAATCTTCACTCAAAAGTGAAAGTGCCACTATTCCTCCTCCCCACCCCCGTCCCTAACACTTTAGAGTTTGTGTTTTTTTCCGGGAACCTTTTTTGACAGGTCCCCACTCCCTCAATTATGCCCTAGACGAAAATGACATGCTCCTAGACATGACCCATGATCCTGCCCCCTGCCCACATTCATCAGGAAGTTACAGCTAGCTCCTATATCCTAGATGGAGGCACCAGGCACCTGTAGCAGTAAGTAGAACTGGTTGGGGGAAAGTGGCACTGGACTCCAGGGGCTGGTACCTGATTTTTTCACATTTGTGACATTTGTATCTTTTTCTTTTTTTCCCTCCATCTTGTGATGGAGTTAAAACAAGCACATGTAATCTCCATGGGGGGCCTAAAGCTAAAGGGAGAGGTACACATGGGCAGAGGAATACTCAAAAAAGAACTACAAAAGAACTTCAGCGTGCACACCTGCCAAGTTAGTATAAAACGCACTTATACAATTAGGTCTGATATAATAGGGACACTAAAACTGGAGCACTCAGAATCTGGTGCAGCTGTGTATGGTAGCCAATCAGCTTCTAACTTCAGCTTTTCCAATGAAGCTTTGACAAAAAACCTGGAAGCTGTTTGGTTTCTATGCAGAGCTGCACCCAATTTTACACTGTCCAGTTTTAGTATCTCTCATCCTATGTTTCCTTTAGAAACAATCCACATGCCATTAGCTGCCATTTTCCTAGTGCATATTTGAAAACAGGTTCGTATAGGCCACACAGACACATTTCTTTCTCATACCTTTATTTGGAAGGCTCAGTAAGTTTTGTTGCTGGCTCAATAGAATGGCAACCTGTGCAGATATTTTAGTTCTAATAGAATGCGCTTTATGAACGTACTGAACAACCTATGAAAGATAAGGCACATTTGCTGCTCTAATTCAAAGCTCTTTTGATATATTTTTAATCTGTTTTCTTTTTACTTGCTGAGATAAAGAAAGAACAGCACGATAGATGTTCAGCATTTATTGTGTGTAATTTTATTAAATCCTGGTGTGCTTTTAGCTTTTCATGTGAATAGTACCACATACGCATTGAATCCTATTGCAATTCCAGTGCTTGCCAGTCATTAAGTAAGCCTGAAAAGCATACACAGAAGAATGACATAAAAAGTGTCCAGATTGGTCACTCATTCCTGTGTCAAAGCTGAAGCTTGGACCCATTTTGACTCATCTTGGCGTTTGAAGCTATCTTAAAATATGGCTGCACAGAATGCTTGCAAGTCAGGACTTAAAAAAAACACTGCTAGTTATCCTAGGTAAGATATATGTCAGTGGATCAGTACATCAAAATATAGTGCCATTATTGAAGGACTATAGGGAAGTTTTCTTGTCATCACTAGACACATATCCATGGGCTAAAATATCAAAAAGTCAAAAGACACTTGCTAAGTAAATGTTCACGAAATTGATACCTACTGGTCACAAAGATATCAAAGGCAGTATTTTATACTTACAATTGTTTGCGATGAGGTTAAGGTACTGTATGACTAAACCTAAGAGTAAAACGTAATGCATTGCAGTTTACTAGTCTTTCGATGTCATGGATGTATTCATTTTCTGTTTTCCGGTTAAGTAATTTCTGCATTTCACAAAACTAGCTATTGATCCTGATAGCATAGCTCCCAAATGTCCCTGATTTGGAGGGACTGGCCCTTTTTGGAACAA